ACGTACCGGCACGTAAAATTTTCAGTGGGAAGCCAACATACCTACTATTTTTCCACATACGAAAGTGTAAAACAGTTATATTTTTAGTAAGCAAATATTCGCTGGACGGAACTGCGCAAAATGCATGATCGCACCGGTTACCCTGGTACGCTTCGCTATTTATTATATTTCCCGTATGCTTAATTTGAGTGCCGCATCTAATTTATCCTCTCGGATTTGGCCGGTCACATGATGATTGGCCCATTGAAACATTTCACCGACTTTTTGTTCTAAATTGAGAGTGTGCTGCGAGCATGATCGTCTCGGCCATTGTGAATCGAATGACTTGTGTATCGAAGACACTTGGCAATCCAGAATGCATGGCCGGATGGGCATGTTTCGCGAGATAGAGTATTCGCTCTGAGTGAACCAGAGACAGTGTTGGTTTCCCACCTCGCCTCGCGTAGACCTCCGTATCGAAGCCCATCTATAATTTATGTGATTGGCCTTGCCCACTCTGCTCCCCTTCTCTCCTCTGCCCGTATGTTCGGCTTGTATCAAGTATTGTCGGTGACAGAATTAGAGGACTTGTGACAATCGAAGTGTATTTTTTTTTCCATATTTATGTGAATACGAGAACGCATATGGCCAAAAGATTTCCATGTGTATGTATATGTGCACGTACAAGAATGTTTTCTATCCATTTGAATCTAAGGATTTCAAATCCAAATATTTCGTATGTTTACATCACACATACGGACATGCCAAAAAATTCGTTGTTGGTATTTTTTTCAGTTCGAGAATCAGCTTACATTTAGCGTCTATTCACTTAAGTTTTAGATTGTACCTGCGCCACGTGCAAAGCCACGTTCTATATTCACGCCTGTCGCAAAGATTTTACCGTGCATGTCTCAGCCCTTAAGCGTAAAATCAGCTTCTACTCTTTTGCCCTTCTCTCTTAATTAAAAAAGCAAAGAAGCAAACTAAATTGTTGGAATATCTGGTGCCTCACTAAAAGCGTAAGTTCAGTTCACAAAATTGCCTACGTTTTGTGTACGGATGCGGTAAACTTGAGAGTGCGAAATCGTGGATAACTTCTCGTCAAGATAATGCTGGAGGCTGAGATTTCACTCATCCCTTCGATACATTACAACCTTCCAGCCGGAG